CAGACAGGGAGGAAACTTTCCTGTTAGGTGCTGTAATTGTTGTACATGTTTATTATGTTTTCACCGAAGGACCGTGAGCTCCCAAGACTCATCAGAGGTCGAGTGCACAGGTGCATGGGGAACTATGACTCCAAGAGGAACATTTTCAAATGTGTCTCTGTCAGACCAGCAACTGCTCAGGAGCAGAACACTTTCCAGGACTTTGTTAGAATTGCAGATGTGGAGATGACAACGTATGTAAAGACAATGAATGAAATGTGAAAGGTGAAATCAGTGTTCACTGATCCTTGCCCATAAAGGCAGGACCAAAACTAACACTGAAAACCTGGTTAAAGAATTGAAAATATCACTGTGCTGTGTTAGCCAACAAATGTTGCTCATGTTTTGTTTTCACTATTGATTTTCATAGCTTCTCTTTCCCAGTTAAATATGCAATAACATGGGGCTTGTTGCATAGAAGATTAGATTTTACTGGAGAAATTGGTGCTGAAAATGTTAAAGATTTGCAGTAGTGCATCTGTCTTAGGAAAAGGTCTAAATACTAATTCAGGTTTCTATAGATTTTCACTATCTTTAATTTTTAGCAATTCCTTCAATAGCTGTTTTAAGGTGTTGTCTCTGTCCTTCTTTTGAGGAGTATTTGGGCATGGTTTAACAGCTAACAAATATCAACAAGGTCCTTTTTGGGTAGAAGGCAAGAAGATTGTCTTCACTTCAGCTCCAACTAACAGGTTTCCTTCCCTTCACTGGATTGCTAGGAAATGTGGGAAAGCTTTTCTAGCAATGAACATAACAGACTACACAGAGATTTGACAGGATGCAGCTGCACCTGTCAGGTGTTCACCAGGTTCCCATGGACATGTTATCTGATTCCTGGGTCATTTTAAAGTAAATACTCACTATAACACCTGTATAAAACAGCAACAGCCCCTGAAGCTGTAGGAAGATTCCTCAGGGACACAGAGGAAGTTGAAAAGATTATTTGAGCACAGAACTTCCTTGCCTTTGCCACAGAAACATCTTCCATGGGGGATGGACCATGGACATGTTTATGTGCCTTTGCCTTCAAACATTAACCTCCATAGG